ACACGCTAGCTCTGGTAGTGACCACACAGTCTCAAGCTCGAAGTGGCCAGACCCCTCTCCCAGTCCAGAGCCTTTCCCCACACTTTGCTGGTCCCAGGTGCTCACCACATCCAGCTGCAGGCTGTGCTGCTTGGCCAGTTCCAGCTCCTTGTGTTGCTTCTCTGTTCCTTTTGGCTCTCTGAGCACTGCCAGTCTGAGCACTGCCCAGGACTTTCATGTGCTTGGCTGGCTGGTTGTTGTTCACCTGGGCAGGGTCTAACTGATCACCATCAGATCACCTGCTGATCACTTGCCAGGATTATTTAGGTACATGTATCCCTGATATGGTGGAGGCTATAGGCATTGCTACATCCTAGTCACTTCTGTTCCCTGCCTGTGACACAGAATAGTCTGATTTCTTTTAGGCTATAATATTTTGGGCTAATTTCAGTAGCTGTGTTTAGAATATATGCTTGTGCCAGTTAGAAGGAGAAATTGGTGATGGAGCCAAGTACTACTTTGATGGAGTCCTGTTTATTTACAAAGAATGTATGAAGTCCTGGTTCTTTGAAAACAGGAGGTAACAGGAATCATTTTCTTTGCTCATAACTCCAAAGCTCTTTTCAGTCAGTACTCAAGCCTGGAACCTCTCCCCATAAACTTTTCCTTGTGCAATGCTCCCTGCACATATTCTGCTGCCTACTTGACCTTCTGCTCCTTTCTGAGGTGTTTCTCACTGGTTCTTTTCCCCTTCTCCCACACACACACCTAATCCAATCTATCTCCTGCCCCTGAATTTGATATTAAATCCCAATAGAAACCGCTTTCTTGTGCCACATAGCAAATTATTTATCATATATATTCAGCCTGAACTCTTATAGGCTAACCTACCAGTTTTAAACTAGTGTTACCTAACTTATAACATTAATGTCAAACCTCTTCTGCATTCTGTAGCAGTATGAACATTATAGAATTGAACTGAAACGGCAGATATTAATGCATAAGCCTGAAAGCTGAGGCATTTTTCCTTCATTTAGAGCCATTTTACAAAACAAACCCCATTATTAAAATTGTCCTTAACTTCATTTTAAATTTCAAAACTGAGTTAGACACTTATAGCAATAAATGCAACAAACTGGACATGCCAGAAGAAATAACTTCCATTGTCAACTATATTTAAGAGTTTTGGGCACAAAACAGAAGCCAAAGTGAAAGTTTCTTTTCCACATATGTATACTCTTGAAATGGTGATTATGGGCCTCATACAAGGAAGAGTTTGCCTAAGAAAACTGAGGGCATCACTGGATAAAACCCTACTGAGGCAGTGCTGTAGACACTCGGTTCTCCAGCTCATGATTTATTCAGTTAGAACTATATTGTAAATAAGCTGTGATGCGTATCTGCACTGCCTGAGGAGTTATTCTGGCTCAAAAAAAAATTCCTCCTAGGAAGGGGGAATTCCCTAGTTGTGTTTTCAGGATGAACTCTCTCACCATATCGCAGAGCCCGTCAGCTCTACTGGTCAGGGAATAGCAATGCTGAGCCACAGCTCCCTTTACTCCTCTCTGTGGGAGGAACATCAGATGCACAGATCCTGCTTTCTACACCACGAGAAGACTTGGTAGCCCTGCAGCAGGGATGGGGAACCTTATTTGGATCAGGGGTTGCTCACCCACAGAAAAATCAGTCAGGGGGACATACACAAGTGAGAAGGAAAAAACACCTTCCCCCAAAAAAACAAACAAACCCTCCTTGGCATGGCCATGCACTGAGAAGCAGAAAGATGCTCCTCACATACCCTTCGTAAAACAAAGTCTGGGGCAGCCCAGCATAGTAGATTTTGTGTGCTCCAGCTCCATGGAGGAATGGTGGAGGAGCTAGAGCACTAGCGTGGGCTCTCCAATGCTCGGGGGCAGCTCTGAGCCTTGGCGGCCAGATCCAGGTAAACCACAGGCCACATTAGGCCCGTGGGCCTGACGTTCCCCACCCTTGCCCTACAATTAGGGTTGAGGAATTATTAACTCTTCTACTATTTCCCTGTTTAGGAGCATTAAGATAAGTCCTATTCCAACCCTGAAGTGACTTTGTCAGGACAGCTGATGAGCAGGACTTGGTTTTAATTTGTGGTGTCTGAGCATTTAAAAATCAGACTCTAAAAGTAAACAGTGTTGTCTTCAAGTTGTCATTGTCAAGTCTCAAGTCACTACAGTTCAAGTCTCAAGTCACGTCTCGAGTCCCTAAAGTCACTTTCGAGTCAAGTCCCAAGTCGAGTCTCAAGTCTTAATTTAAAAAATGTCAAGTCACTTTTGTACAAGCCATCAATATCGGCATTTTTGGACAATTTTTTCACCAAGTCGATTTAACAAAATTAGCAAGTCTAAAGTCAAGTCTCAAGTCACAAACAATGAACCTGAGTCGAGTCTGAAGTCAAGTCACCTAGACTTTGAGTCGAGTCTGAAGTCAAGTCACCTAGGCGACTTGAGTTCAAGTCGTGGGACTCAAGTCAACAACTCTGAAAGTAAGTCTTATCTGAATACTACCTCCCTTCTGTGTAGTTCAAATTAAACACTTTGAAGATGTCAGAGGGCCTAGAAACAATCACAGAGAACTAAAAAGGAGATGTATCTAGGAAACATTGGAATGTTAGCTAACACACTGAATAGGCACTTGCAGAAGGGCCTATTGGCACTTAATGGCTTCACTTGTGCACTTTGATTATACTTTGTTGCCCCATCTCTAAGATAATCCTTACCTACCTCACAAGGTATGCATGAACGTTAATTTAATGATAGTAAAGGACTCCACAAATCATCATTAGAAAGTGACACAAGTGCAAGGTCTGATATAAAATCATAGTGGAGCCCTTCTCCTTGGGCCATATAGCAAACTATTTTCCTATATACCCTGAATGAAGGGGAACAGGTTCATGCACCAGTTTAAAAATAACTTTCCTAATCTATAACAGTGTTTTTTAACCTCCTCTGCATTTTGTAGCAGTATTGGCATTATAGATTTGAACTGAAACAGAAGATATTAAGGCTTATGCTTCACAGCTAAAGCATTTTTCCTTCCCTGTAATATTATTACAGATGAATGAATTGGTATCTAATAAAACTTACAACTTGAAACAAATATTTTTTGCTGTGTGAAGCATTCACTGTAGTGATGAGTGCCAAAGAAAAACCCATTAGAAAATTAATAATGCCCTGAGCTGGAACATGTACAGCACAGATGGAATCTTCAGAGAATCTTGCTGCCAATCTAACAAGTCTCCATACTGAATTGTATGCTAACTGAAATTCCCAGAGGCTCTTAATTTGGCCAAATAAGGCCGATTTGCACAGAAACAGCAAAAAGGCAGTTCCCTGCCAGGATGCCATTGCGGGGCAGGGGGGGAGGAGGAGTGGTGGTGGTGGTGTGTCTCCCAAAGAAGGGCTTGTGCTTCTCATTGTAAAAGTTTTAACAAAATGGGCAAGACAATGTATATGGTTGAACTATTTTTGCTCATTTGCCCTCCTCTAAAAACAGTCTTTTCCTATGGCGGATACCCAGCATACAGATTTTCACCCTGAAGCACTTTTAAAGTTTGTCACAGTTCTAAATAACTAAAACCAGAGCCATATAATAGGGAATGCCAGATAACCTATCATAAATACCACTACCTGCTCTAGTTGTAACAAGAAAGCCCCCCCATCACCCAAGCTACTGCATGTAAGAGGATCCCATGCCTATATAACCTTTAGTCCCACTGACATCAGTTTGCATGGCTGGAATCTAAATGTTGTCAATGAAGTGGAATTTACTTTAACAGTATTTAGGCCTTTCCACAACAGCTTTGCCAGCGAAATTTCCTTTAGAAAACCTTTTAAAAATGGCTGGGCCATATTTGATATTATTTTGGGGGATGCTTTCAACTATCCCATGCAGAATGAAGATGACACTGCCTTTTTGTTTATTTTATTGGCGGACTGGCGCTTTACTTGGGCAGGAAAACAAAGCGGAGCAAAGACCTTCTTTGTGGAGGAGCAAGAGCTTCTCGAAGTCGGACCCCGCGGGCAGGAGGCAGGGCGAGCCTGGAGAGGTGAGTAAAACTCCGGGGGAGAGCGCGAGGCCGTGTCCCGCCGGCCGGGGGCGCCGAAGCGGCAATGGATGACGGATGCAGGCAGCTGTTTCAGGAAGTTGCTGGTCCAGCCCGTGTGCGGGTCCCCGGGGAGCGGCCGGGCTGGAGCAGTCGCTGCTGGGGGAGCAGGGAGGGCCGGGCCGCTGCGCACGAGCCGGAGAGGAGACTCGGTCCCCAGGCAGCCCTGCCCGGCTGGCGGCAGAGGGCCGGTGCGTTAGCAGCTCTGCGGTGCCCCTGCTCGGCTACCCTGGAGCCCGGCGCTGCGTTGCCTGGAAGAGACCCCGGGTGAAGCGCCCGCCCAGCGGGACTGGGCAGCGCCCGCTCGCCTTCTGGAGCCACCAGCACGCTTGAGCGGGGCGCGCCGCCGCGTCTCTGCACAAGCGGGCGGGTGTCGGTCGGTGGAGCCGGTGTAAACCTCACAGCCCCCAGCCTGGGCCACACAGGTGAGAGCAAGAGAGGCCCTGTGGCGTAGTGATAGCCCGTTCACGGCCAGGCGCTGGCAGCAGAAGAGCTTTTGACAAATTACTCCACAAAAGGCGGGATTTTTTTTTCAAAGAAAAGTTGCTCCCTACGTGGTGACCAATATGAGTCGTTCCCCCAATAATACAGTCAGAGCCGTGAACTAAGTGATCCTAAATCACAAGTGGCTGTCTGGAGACGCTGTCTTTCCACCATTGATTTCATAGGCTCCCCGTGATTGAGACACCTACTCCGTTTCCCCTCGGAATTTATTATTCCCTGTTATTTGTATGATTGTACCCAGGTACTCCAGTCTTGAACCAAGACCCTACTGGGCTAGGTACTGAACCAACCCTGCCGGAAGGAGCTTACAATCCAAATACAAGGCAGCAGAGGATGGCTGCATAAAGATGAACTGCAAGAAGAAATACAAAGAATCAATATTTCAGCCAGTGGCCTCAATATCAAGCAAGGTACCTCTTGTGGTCGTTATAAGCATCGTGGGAAAGGGGAGTTTGCAGATGGGTTAGGAGGAGGAGAAGAGATAATGAGTTTTGGAGAAGTTTATGGGAGCTGCCTTTTCAGGCATAATGGAAAGAAGCATGCAGGTGTGTGTAAACAAGTGAGCAATGGAAACTAATGTTGCGGGCCAGCTGAAAACAGCAAAGGGACTTTCAGTGCTGAATGAGAACAGATTGGGAGAGTGGGGACAGTTAAGGCTACATTTTAGTCATGGATATTATTAGTGAAAATCATGGACAGATCACAGGAAGTAAACAAACATTCACAGCTGCTGACCTGTCTAACTCCTACTATAGATTAAGGATATAAAAGTGTAACTGATCAAATGGTTAACTGATAAATATGAGCTTATTGGTTTCTGTAACCATTACACACGGGCTTCTAGCCCCGCTCCACTTCAGTGCAGGGCGGGGGCTGGAAACGGGGTGTCAGATGGTGCACACTGGGAGCTGGCTTAAAAGCTGACTCCCAGCACACACTGGACCCTGGGGACCCAGCTACTGCCCCCCATTGCTGCCTCTGTATCAGTGGCAGCAGCCAGCTCCCCAGGAGTGGGCTGGCAGGTGCAAGCTATTACACATTAGGAGCCGGCTTCTGGCTAGGGATATTAAATATCGGTTAGTTGAATAGTTGAGTAACCTCATGAAATTTGATCAGTTAGTTGACTATCTATAGTCCCCGGGGCCAGCAGCCAGTGTATCAGAGGCAGCAGCGCAGGGTGCCAGGTGAGGGGAGGCAGTTTAAAAACCAGTTCCCCTTGTGGACTGGACCACCTGCCTGTCGCCCTGTGCTGCTGCTTCTCCCTGTTTAGGTGCGATCTGAGCTCCCAGACCCAACGTGAGCCAGAACTGAGGTGGGCTGCCTGCCCAAACAGCTCTTAATACACTTGAAATGCAGAGCTGAAACTGGGGTAAGTCTTGGACCCAGCATGAGCCAGGACTGAGCTGGCCATCTGCCTACCTGGCTCCTAATACACTTGAAATGCAGCCCCGCAGCAGGGTTCGGTCCTGGACCCGTCGCAAGCCAGGATTGAGCCAGGCTGCTGGCCAGCCTGCTAAAAAAATTTACTGGCAAGGTGAGCGGGAGAGGGAAATGTGTGTAGTCTAAAGCAAAAGCTTATAGGTTAATGCTAATTGGTTTATCAACTATACTATTACATCCCTATTTCTGGCATACACCGACTCCCGCCTTGCGGGCTCTGCAGTATAAAGATTATACTGCAGAGTCCACAGCACATCCTGCTCCCAGCGTGCACTGGCTGCCAGCCCTGCTCTCAGGGAGCTTGCTGGGCTGCAGACTCTGCAGTATAAGCTTTATGCTGCAGAGCCCACAGTGTGTAACGGCTAGGATTTTTTTTAATGGTTACATGGTTCCCTAGTTAACCACTTTTTAACATCCCTTACTATAAATACCCCAGTAGTGCTTTGTGGAGTTAAGAGGCGCTGCTGCTGCTCCAGTGTCCCCTGGGGCGCACACTACTTGGGGCCATCCAAGCAGCAGTCAGTGCGTCTGGTCCTGGATCTGTCCCAGCTGCTCAGCCACACTGCAGCTGCAGAGGTCAGAGATTCCACAAAGTCACATAATCCACAACAGACTCCCAGCTTTAGGGATAGTCTGGAAGGGCTTTGAAAGGGAAGATAAGTTTATGTTTAGTATGCTAGAAAAGGTGGAAGTGAGTAGACGGATATCAGTGAGAGGGTGAAATGGTCAAAGTGACAGGTCAGGAAAATTATCTTTGCAATAACATTCTGACTGTATAAGAGCAGGCCAAGATTGCATTTGTGAAAGCAACAGAAAAAGATGTTGCAGTAATAGACACAAAATGACCGGACAAAAATTTTAGGTTTGTGGATGGATTGGAAAGGCTATAGCTTATGTAGAAAGAATCTGCAATACAGGCAGTCCCCGGGTTACGTGCAAGATAGGGACTGTAGGTTTGTTCTTAAGTTGAATCTGTATGTAAGTCGGAACTGGCGTCCAGATTCAGCCGCTGCTGAAACTGACCGCCAGTTCTGA